TCTCTTTCTTGTCACCGTCGTTTTTGCGGTCTCCCTGTTGACGGTTTAGGCCGCCGGGTGTTCCCTGACCCATGGTTCCAAGTGTGAATTCCGATCGAAAATTGGGGTTGTTTTGTGGGATTATCTGTGGTCGATGGAGATTTTTTGGGTTGCCTTGTTCAAGAGAAAATGGAGATCAACTGTGAGGGTTCATTATATAGGGTAAACCCGTGGATGATCCGACCCGAACAAACATACATTTACGGGTTAGGTTGGAGATCATGATGCTAAGCCTGATTTGAAATACTGTGGAGTTGAGCTCAGACCAGACTCCGTGCCCTTTTAATGAGTTGAGTCAACTATGTTATTGAATTAAATGATTTAGTAATCGAACTGGAGCTTAGACCAAGTTATAACGAACTGAACTCGAGCCTAAATCAAGTCAGAAACTTGATTATTAATGAGTCGAATTACAGAGAATTGTATATAAATTTTTCTTTTTAAGTTTTATCGAGTCAAGTCGAGCTCGATTCGTTAACAAAACGAGCTGAAACCTTAGTGAGCCGAGGTCACGAACTGCTCGTGATGCAATTTATGGAAAGTTGCAAGATTTACCATAGATAGCTGTGAGTTTTCTTCAAATGTGAAATTACGCACGGTCTAGGTTTTTAATTCATAGAGAACTGCGGGTTTGAGAGTTTTTTTCACACACATACACTGAAATTGAGATTCATTTGAAAATTGTCCAGGCTCATTATGTATCATTTATTCATATATTTTTCTCTAGACTCTTTCGTTTTGTTTTGTTCGACTATTTTATTATGAACTCATATTTTATTTATTTGATTTAGATGTGCCTGGATGCTCAAGTCTTTATTTCATATTTTTATTGATTTTTTTTTTTTTTAAAACGAAAGATTGTATTCCTAAAAAGAAAAATTACAATATAAAACCAGAGGCTAATAGCCAGCCAAAACCACCATACAGTGGAATTGAGATGAGCAGTAACAGTAGTGACCTAAACAAAAAATCAAGGAAGAGGAATCTAAATTTCCGGCAACGACGAGTACGCTGAAATTGGATGTTGGATGCCCGATCCACACATACAAAAAACTAAAAACACCCCAAAAGGGAAACGCCATACTCTAACAAGTGGAGAGTAACACACTAACACGAGCAACCTGGAATGGAAACCCAGACGACCACACAAGCCAAAATCTACACATAACAACCCCTCGATCAGGACCTAAAGAGCTACAGAAGCAGACCCCAAAATTAAAAACTCCACGGAAGCGACTAGACAGAACCGATAGGAAGGCAAGACTTTAGTCCAGATCTGAGCACCCAAAGTCGCTAAACGGGGGAAAAGAGGGCCCAAAGGGATAAAAAAAAACATGGACTTGTCGCTCGAGCTTGCAGTGGATGGCCTACTGCGGGTGGGTCGTGCGTGCTTGGTTCGCATCACATGCATAATGCATGATTAGCACTCATTTGGCTTGTCCAAATAAAAGGCAGGCAGAACACTTGCAAGTCCAACAATCTATGTGTTGCTTAATCTGAATTGTGAGTTAAACTACAGAATTGATTTCTCACGAATCTAAATGGTTTTTTTTTTATTCTTAATTTTGTACTTACAAATAGAACCGGTAAATCGGTAACAACCAAATTTTCTTAAAAAGTAAAAAAAAAAAAGAGCATCACACACACACACACACACAAATAAAAAAAAAGAAAAAAAAAATAGAAAAATAAATAAAAAGAGAAAGAGGAGATCATCATTGACAGAGTTTTTAGTTATAGCGAAATATAATCTTCCTTGGGCCGACTTGAACTGTTGTGGCCCAATATCAACCTATTGAAAAAGGAACGAATATGAAACGGAGAAACTGAGAAGGGATTCTCAGAGCTCCAAGACTGCAATCAAAGGTCAGACTGAGACAAACATGGGGACGAGAAAATGTCGAGTTTGTGAGGAGGCGCCGTCAAAGTACAAGTGCCCGACTTGCTTAGTACCCTAGTAAGTTGTCGAGCTTCCTGTTTATGCGTTTGTAGATATCTATGAAAATAACCTTAATTTTCAGCTAATAATTGGTCATCTGTTTGTGTTGTACGAAATCTGGGCAAAACCTCCAAGTTGTTCGCTTGCCTGTTTCAAGAAACACAAAGGTAACCCGGTGAAGCCCTTGATTTTTTTATTTTTTTTTTATTAGAAAAATTAAATTGTTGTATGGGTAGATGGGCTTTTTGATTGGCAATGTTCTTGCAGAGATTCCATGTTCGAAACCGGAGTCTGTGAACGAAGAAATTTGTTGTGAGTATTAGTTTATTTCGCATCGTATCTTTCGGTTTTAATCGTTGCTGCCTTTTGCAGGAGCACCTTTATTGTGAATTTGAGCTCATTTTAATGGGGAAAAGAAAAGGAAACTTTGATAATTTGTGTGTTTGTGGCTAACATTGTTTCTGAAATTACTCAGCTTCGATTCCCTCGATATTGCTGGTTGATTATGTGCCGGAGTAAAGTTTTTGAAGTTATTGTATCATGTTTAGTAGATTACCGGCATGAGAAAATAAGATACAATAGTTTTATTTTTATCAAACACAAGCAGGGCGGGCCTTCGAAAAATTAGATCTTTTTGTTGGTAATTGGTTATGTGATAACTTTATAGAAAGGATTTCGGATACTTCGTAAGCTTATAGTCGTAAAAGTCGCTACCTTTGTTGTATCCTGATGTTGGTTGATCACTTGATTGTTGTGGTACATTGATACATTCTATAATCGCTTGTAATAATTTGATGATCGTCGATTAGATGCTAGTTCAGCAACAAATGACGCCAAACCGTGTTATGTTGATGAGCAGAGTGAGGTGTTGCAAGAATCCCAACTGCAATCTATTGGTATGAATTTCTACTAATTGTTCGTTTTACATGTCCCATTGTTCTATGCTACGAGTTACCAATTTAGAATGGAATTAATAGACTAATCTAGTTTATGCTTCCTTTTTTTTTTGTTCCCCCTTTCAATGCTTTTTGTTTGTTACTTTTTAGTTTCTTCAGACAGTCATGTTCTTCAGAGATTCTGGATAATTCTAAATGAGAACATACGAATTTTGATTTTGATTTTGAGATTGCGATGCATTGCCTAGTTTCATTTACTCGGTACAATGTTAGTAACTTGTTGCATTCTGCAAATGTTTGTCTATTTGCCTGATGCTTAGTTTTACAGTATATGCATATGAGATGAAATTAGGTTTGTTATTAATATTCATTTTGTATGCTCTGGATTCTATTGCAGCTTCATCAAGTGAAATCCGCAATTCTTTAAAGGATGAGAAACTTCGGAGACTAATATGCAAAATTGATTCCTTAGAAGATCCGGAGAATGTAAGCTTGTTCGTTCACGTGCAGGAATACCACCATTTGGCTTTGTGAAAGAGGCTGATTGTATTTTTTTTTTTCTCCAAACTTTAGGAGCTCGAGAAAGCAATGGAGGAGGAGTCGTTTCTCTTATTTACAGAAAAGGTACCATTATACCGGTTATGATCCTATCACGACTTGGTTATGGCATCATTAAACAACGCAATTGAAATGTCTTAAACCGACACATGTGTTCACTTGCCTGCAGATTTTGTCTACCATTGGTCCCTGAAGCTCTCTGGTACCCTTCATCGGACATATTCTACAGTTTCGTAGTTTAGCTATTTAAGATACACTCTTTGTAAAAGCTATTTAAGCATCACGTACGGCAGAAGTGGGCCTGGAAGCATCACGTTCGGCACGGGCTTGGAAACATCACGTTCAGATGTCGGAATTAATCGAACCTTTTAAAGTAAATGCACAAGATTAACATACCATCCACATAAAGGCACACGATTAAAAAAAAAAAAAAATTAATTAAT